TTCAAAAATAATAATGAGTTAGTGTCGATATCTTCTGAGTTTTTAAGTTTTTTATAAATTCGTAGAAAACGGTTAATCAAATTAACATAAAAAATGGGCAATAACTCCTTATTAAATTCCAAAAGGATAAATCGGTTTTAAGTCAATTTTGGATATTGTGAGGCTGACAGCGAATTTGTTGTAATGACCTTTTTTGTAGAGCTCATTCAGTTTGGCAAAAAAGTAATCAGAGAAATTTCGCTATCTCCCTTAATTTGGGAGGTATTCACCGAAGTGGTGAGTCGAGTGAGCACCCCTCGCCAGACATAAGAAATTTTGAGCCTGACCGATCTTCCAACTTTCTCACCAACTGAAAAGAAGTCAAGAAAAAAAAAACTAATTTCCAGAGGAAATCACCGCAGTGCGAAATTAGTGCGTACCTCGTGTTTTGAAATGCATCGGAAGAACTGGACCGCATCTATGGTAAGTATGCCCCAAGTGACGAGCAAGAGGTACCTACTCCATGGTTTCCTATCATCGCAAATCAGAGAATCCAACAAACAACTTTCGAATATAGTCCCTCTTGTTCAATGAAAAATCAATGAAAAAAGGGGAGACGGATAGAGAAATTGTTAATCTTAATTTCAGTCGGAAATTTAACAAAACTCTTTGATGTTAATCTAGAAAGGGTAATGAATTAATTACGGACTTTCCAAGATATTAACATACTCTTTCGTGTCCTCTTTTATTCATGAACTAACGAAACAGCTGGAAGAATCAAATTGGTCGTTTGAACCAACTACTCTTATAATTGATCGTAAAATTTAATTCTACTGTTGTTTCATCAATCAAGTGATTCACTCGATCATCAGCTTTCAACGAGAGACTATGATTGAACGTACGTCAGTAAATACTACATCTGACACCTTTTTGTAACGGCGTAGGACGATCATCGAACTGTTGCATCATCGTACCGTAACATGCAAGTTGGTACCGGTATATAATACGTACAGTAATGTGCACATCCATTCAAAATCAACGGATCGAGGATTTTGATGAGTTTCTTCGGCTACGTTATTCACTACCTTATTTGTGCCATAATGTATAATCATAAATCGTCATCTACTCCCAGGAGGAACTGCTATTTTTCATTTTTTCATTATTTTTTTCATTATATTTTTCATTATTTTTTTTCATTATTTTTTTGCTTCATTACGGTCCTCTTTATTCCCAATGGGATTACTGCAATGTCAAATTCAAAATCTTCGTACATATATGTGCCCATGGCTATGTATATATATGTAACGATTTTGCCAAGGCCCATCTTCTCTGGAGGTAGAGTTTTGGGACAGGGCTGAGTGAATGGACAATTAAACAATTAAACAATTAAACAAACTTTGTTACTAAATCTGTTGAGTAAAAGTGACGCATGAAACAGATTATTTATTAGTTTACGAATGAAATTATGCCTTTTGGAGTCGATTTTTATTCAATCCTCAATACATTGAGTATTTTGAGGGCTGTCCATAAACTCATCTCCGAAATTATATCTGTTTTTCTTGTAAAAATTATATCGCGAATTATCCGGAAGTGTTCCCATTCCTACCTAATCCAAATCCTATCCAACTACTCCTTTGGCATCACAAAAATGTGGAACGCTATAAAAACTTCCTCTTCTATATTTTTCCAAAACCAATCCCTTCACGGTATATTATGCCCTGAATCGAGAGATTATTCTGGAATTATTCTGATTTATTCAAAGAGAAATCAACCGAGGATTACTTGTAAATAAATACGACACCGAATGCATGACAACTGAAAAAATTATCTATAAATTTAATTTTACAGAAGGAATACGGAAATCAAAGTTTCAACTTCCGTAGGAACTGCACTGTTCCTACGGAATTTCTTGGCATTCCAGTTATCTAAATTTTCAATTTAGATTCAAAATTAGTAATAATTAAATAATTAATAATTTAAACTAAAGTTTCAATTTAGATTCAGTTTAAATTAAATTTCAGTTAAAACCAGTCTCTGATAGAAAATTCGTCTTAAATAATAATTGATTTTTCAATGTTAATTTTACAGAAGGTTTTTAATTTATTCAAAATTCAATATCAAGTACAATTGAATTTTGAATAAATTAAAAATCAGCATTTTGAGGGCCATATGGGCCTGAAAATTGAAAATTACTCTCGGAATTAAAAAAATATTCAAAAAATGAAGTGATTCATCTAAGAAGAATTCCACAGGAACTCCATGTGACTTTGTTGTTATTAAAAATTTCAGGCTTCATTACTTAAATATTCAGGTGTAATTTTCCAGCAGTGTATAGTCCCTACTAATTGCATTAGATTAGATTTTCAAGGTTTTGGTCACTGAACCGATAATAAAGTTCCTATATTTCAGAATTTTTGAGTTCCTGAAATCTGCAATAATGAACCCCTAAAAATATACAACTGCTTCCAGATTTCCAGAAATCCTGTAATATTATTAATCTTTTCAATTACATTTTCCATAAATGAGATTCTTTATTGATAGTTGACCGGTTGATTGATATTGTCTAGAAGCGATGAGAATTGAAAATTCTTGAACAATTAAGAAATCACAGGGAATCCAATTAAACATTACAAACAGAGCGTGCTAATAATTTAATTACACTTCCGATCAATGTCTGAAGCCTGTCCAATAATTTTATAGAAGGGGAAATTACGGGGATTAATTGTACCAGGAAAAGCTTCTATACAAACAGATGGTCAACGAATGGTTTAATCTCTCGATTCGTTGATGCAACAATCACGCAGAAAAGTGCCAGGAAAAACTGCGGTTTTTAATCCTCTCTCTTTTTATTTCATGTGCAGAGTAATACGCCGTTAACAGTAATAAGATTGCAACAATAAGACAGTTTTGGAGCGTGACCATGAGAGATGCAAGTATTAGAAGTGATCCACTAATAAGAGGAAGAAGTTTTACACATTTGTGTATGAAAGTTTATTTTTCATTGATTCACTCTTAAAAATTATCCAGAAATAAGGAGAAACGGAGGAGAAATTAGTTTCGTTAATTAAGATTCAAGTGCTAGGGATTTTCATTGGAAATGAAAACATTTTTAAGAATTATTACTCCAAAAATCTGAAAGCATCTGAAAATCTGATCTTCCTTTTCGACTACGGATTAACGGAATAAATTAGACAGAATTTCTTTTGAGATGAATATGACATTTTAATTAGGTTTAAGTAATTTTGGGATTAATAAAATATAAAAATGAAATAATTCTCTTATAATCATATAGACAGTTCGGTTCTCCAGATAAGAATAAAATGTGTTAATTAGAAAATGGAATGAATTACATAATTATTTGAGTTGATAATCATAAGCTATTTTTCCAAACCCGATTTCTTGGGAATTTCATTGAATAAAGTTCTGCCCAGCAGTACGCATCATAATTCGAGCCATTACGAGACATTAATACGACCCGATTAAATAAATAGCAGTGTTAACACCTTTAAATAAAGAAAGAAATGTGTCAACTGTCAGTAAAAATGCAGGCCATCGTCCGAAGCCTTACAAACTCGTTAATGATTTTATGTCATTCATTTTAAATCCGCGAAACGTGAAATAACACGTCTCGTGTGTTATATCTGGCTTCTCATACTCGGTACCACTTGCAAGAACACTTGAGAGATAAAAATGTTATTATTTTTCTCGAGTGCTTGCTCCAAACGCTGTATCAATGCAAGAAAATTTATGACTGTTTAAGAAGTCATTATGAGGATAAGATTACGAGTGGCAGTATCTCAAGAAAATCTGAACCATTCAATCCACAATTTAAGAAAATGTTTACTTTTTATAATCGATTTATTATTTTATGGGAACCTTATTGTTATTTCATTTTTAAGAATGGCAGAAGTGTTGGAAAGAAAATATGAGATCGAGGACTGATTCGGAGAGAATTTTCAAAAATTTTCATATCTTTTCTCAATTTTATCCCATCAGCAGCAAAATCTACTGTTTATTGAAAATATAATGAAGTATTATTATTACAGGGAAACATTTTACGATAAATTTTTCGATTGTTCTGATTCCCTTCGACACAGGGCAAATTTATCTGATTTATTAAATTTATCTTTTTAATCAACTTCACGTGAAAAAATGGACATAAATTTTGTCATTCTAAGATTGAGTAATTCTGATCGAACCAAAAAAAAAGTTTGAAGTCATTGAACAGAAAAATAACCGGTGACATTTCCTTGATTAAAAAAATTCAATCAAAACTGGATTGATCGGTTTTTTATAAAGATAAAGCTGCATAAAGGCCCCATGGACATTCCCTGAAAGCCTACGTTAATGAAATGTCATTTCAGTAATTACCATTTAACTGCCCAGAGGTCATTTTCCTAATTACACAACTGGATACCCAAGGTATTAAATGTTCTCAGAAATTGACAAAAGTTTAGAATGGAGAAATGCAGAAAAATAGACGAACGACTATGAAAATTATAGTAAAGTTCACGATTAATTTTCATTTACTATTCGACATTGAACCATTACTAAAAAGCTCCGGAATCTTTATCGCAATTTTATTAAAGATATCCTAAATTTTTATGTACTACTCACGATGAAGTATCATCTCTCGTTCAATAAAAATTCTCCAATTGAACAATAAACACTCGATTTTTAGCAGACGTCAAAATTCAATTCAATTAAAAGAAAAAAGTTGATTAATCCCTCGTCCTAAATTCAATTCACTCTCAGAACGAATTCAATCCTAAATAAAAATAATTTTTCTGACAGTCTAAACTCCACTCCACTGCACCATCCAAAATACTGACACCAATTAATTGTCACAAATTGTTCCTTCCCTCAAAACCTCCCAAAAAAATTCAAATCTCACAATAAAAAAAAAATGATAAAAGCAGTGCTTTCCTCACCAGTACAATAAAATTTAGGACAACCCCCAAGACTTCGGACACCATTTTCCATTCGCATCACTCTATTATTAATACAAAAAAGAGACTCACCTTATCCCTCCATTCCATTCTCCTGGATGTCACCCTTAAAATCCACAAAAGCTGACAAAACAATTCATCACAACCCTCGAAAAAGGGAGCACCTCCGTACGTATTGGTCAACTAGTGGCAACTGCTCGAGTTGAGAAGCTCTCCGTATTTTAATCCCTCTCCTAGGGTTCTCTCTTTTGAAAGCAAAACGGATGAGAAGTAACGAGGGGGCCACGCGATTGCTTTATAACTCGACAATCGACGCGTGGACTGCGCCGTGTCGCGCCAAACTCACGACTGAAAAACCTCTGTGCACTCTTTCCAGTTTACGTTCTGACAATTCTTTTTAACGCACCACAAAAAAACACCAGCATCACTCTGTCCTCCTCGAGCTCCTGCATCATCCACTGGCGCCATCTCTCCTCCCATCCTTACCCCTCGCTCTCCCCTCCACCTGCCCATCACCACCAACCCAACGACCACGTGCACCGGCCGGCACGGACCGTCCATAGAGAATTAAAAAAAAAATCAAAAAAGTACTGGGAAAAAAAAAAGGAACACACCCAGAAGCACACACCCCTTGCCAATCACCGTAATGCATGTGTCTTATTTCATTGGTGGAGTCTAATGTCGAAGAAGTTATTTTTTCAATTCTGATAAGGATTATTCCTAATATAAGGAATAAGGAATATAAGGAATTCTGATACCGGATCTTTGAATTTTTCAAGTTTTTTTGGGATTTCTGGAGGATTGTACATCACATTGACGTGCGGTAATGTACCTTTTTTAGGGTTCATCTTTATTCAATGAATCATGAGTTTAAATGTTTGTCCTTCTATTTTTATAAATTTTTGGTAAGATTTGGGAATTTTTGGGAAAGTTTAGTGGCACTTGGAAATTTTTACGTTGGAAGGAACGGTACATTAAAAAATTAGATTAAGCATTTGACGGTCAGTAGACTTTATGGCACTCGTGTTCAATTTTTTTACTGAATGTTTATAACAAATTTATTATTATTAAGAGGTTTTATACCTTAGCTCTGTTCTACAGTATTGTTGTCCCCGTTTTAGGCGCCTGAAAAAGGGAGAAAAAATCAAAAAATTAAAAAAGGTATAGTATAAAAAAATACGCAAGTTAAATCTCTCATAACGAGAGAGCGAATAATTTTTAATAAATATCCAAATTTTTCTTGATGTTTTCAACTTATTTCAAGTTTCTATTCGCATGCCGGTAATTAATACTACAGAAACATGGAAAGTTAGCCAGAGTAATATAGCTCGGGGATAATGTAGATCGGACCCATTTGCATATTGCAGAATATAAGGATCGAAGGGTCTTGGGACTAGAGGTTTGCGATTTCCATGAAATGCAAGAGTGATTAGAGGATATCAAAAATGCTTACCCACACGCAAAAATTAATCTAATCTATGTATTAGAAGATATATGTTTTGGAATTTTTTTTTTTGCATGTGATTTTTTTTTTATTGAAAAAATGTATTTAATTGGTTGATATTAGAGGCATGACTCGGGCAAAATGGGACTTCCAGGCGAAACCAAAGTCCAGTCATTTTTTTCCTGCCAAAAAATGTTGGAGACATTGTAAATGTGCCTAGTGTTTTTTTGGGAGTTTAATTTTTTCTTTCAATTATACTCTTCTTATTTTTGGTTTTCCTCCATTTTCAAAAAATAGGACATCAGACTTCAATCGTTCTGTTTTGCTTCTGACCGTCAAATCCCACTCCACGAAACAAATTCTAGAAATTTTAAAAGAAAACATTAGATTAGGAATTAGATAGGAATTTAACAGTTTTTTTGTCAGTTAAGAGTGATAAAATTCTGGAAAAACTGAAATGTTGAATAATGACGTCTTACAATCGATTCTTTCCCCTCGCCTCCCATTTAATCCCCTAATCCATTCCATTTTACTCGCATTCTATTTTACTTCGTGTCCCATTTTGTCCGACTCTCCCTGATATTTATTTCATTTTGTTTATGTGGATTCCTTCAATAATGATACTCATACAGAAATGTTTTATCTTTCACTTGCAAAACCTACTCCATTCAATTGGGAGCTGTGCGACATTTTTTATTACGTCTTCAGGAAAAATTGATGTCCACCGCTGCAATAGTAGGTACAGACTATTTCATGAGTCGCATCGAACAATTACATTTTTAATAAAAGATAAGGAAAAGAATATCGATCCTTCTGTGGTCGTATTAAATATATTAAATATAGTCCCACAGGTTTCGCGCAGCGGCGAAAATGCTTGTGCAATTAACAGTTTAAAAATCAAATCAAAATCAATCAAAAATCTTTCTCCCAAAAATCAAGGTCAGCTCACAAATTCTTGACAGTTCCGTCATTTTTCGGGTATTTTTCTCTTCGTGTATGTGCCCACATATATTTCACACAGGTATTCGATATATATCTCACAAATACTTGAAATATATTTTTGGCAGAAATAAAAATTTTAGCAAATGTTATGTATATGTCACATGTAATTATTAGCATGTATATTTTTTCGGTGAGGGTGAGTATCAACATGAAAATGGAAACAACGAAAGTATTGTCGACGTACCCTAATGGTGAGAGGATGAGATAGAGGGACGAGAGGCTGTGCTTCATTCACGTGTATTCGGCGAGTTGCCAGGGAGGGAGAGCAGACGGAGGGATGTTGGCTTTCATCCCTTAATCAATACTGGCGTTCCTCTCCCATGCACACCAACAGTACATCTGAAGCTGTCTGTGTCGATATCTCCGAGTTCCATGGGCCATGAAAAATTTAAGGAAAAAAAAAAAAGCCGCGGCCCAGCCAACATTTCCTCGAGGGTTTTCCACACGGGAGCAATCTAATGGGGATCTCGATACGGGGAAAATCATTCAATTAATTTCGTATCGAGCATCATCGACCAGGAAAATTTTACACGGCGAGGGATATACTATTAATTACAATTAAAATTACGACATTCAGGTTCTCTCACTCTAGAAGTAAATATTTTAAAAATTTCAAGTAGTTTATATGAATTTTACATGAGCCCTAGAGTGTAGCAGCGGATTATAAATTCGTTATGCAAAAAGTTTATTCTTAATTGATTGTTTTTTATATGGCCACTAACTTTGGGAGGTGTACGTTATTAATCTGGTGGATTAGTTGTTGAATTATTTCTTCAAAAAATAAACTCCTATCTGTCTCGGATTTTGGTCTTCCCAATTTAATTTATAACGAAGAAACGGCACTGCGGATAATTTGCAGATTCCATATAGATTTAATTTATTTTCTCTTTTTTTTCAAATTTTGTCTCGATTTAAATTTTTATCATAATGTAATAAATTTTGTGTAAGGAAAAATGTGTTTGGCAGTTTCAGCTTTCATGTCGAGGGTTTTTGACATGGGGTTGAGGAATCAATGAGTCGAGTGGAGAAATTGATCCGGGGAGGATAATTCAATTAATTTCGTATCGAGGCTGGCGAAGGGTACGAGTAAATACGACGCCTTATATGGATATTGAAAGTAGGTAATTATCGTTTAATCTTTGATGGGGAAAATTGTCGAGAGGATCTGTATGAAAGGAGTCTTGAGATCATTTTAATTGAATCACATAAGTGGAAAATTATCCCGAGTCAAGGGGCTCGGGTTAAATGTCGATGCAAAATCCAAATTTTTGAAGCAGAAAATAAAAATTCTCCTTGCAATCTGCGCATGTTTAGAGTATTGACTTTTTTGGGAGTTTTCGTTTGCGATGTGTTCGGCTCCAGCGAGACCTATTCAATGAAAAAATTGAGAAATTTTGAATTTTAAATTGTTACACTAGTCTATTAATTGTGGACAAATTGGAGAAAAATTCCCAACATGCACTCAGTTTTTTAGTTTTGCTAATGATTTTTTCTCGGTCAATTTTCCATGACAACTAAATTCCTGAAATAGTTGGGAATCGTGAGAAATCTATTTTGTTAGAAAGAAAAAGTGTCTCTTAGGGTAAAAAATAAAAGTAAATAAATAAGCAGTGCGGAATAAACCGTGTGACTGTTTATAATTTATAATAATTTTAGAGTAGAAGAGGACAATAAGACTTGTTGCTTCAAATTTCCGACTTTAAATACCCTTATCAAAATTCCAATGAAACTTCCACTGCGAAGGCCTAATTATCTAATTAATAATTATCATCGAAACTAGGAAACAGCACCAAGTGAAAAATTTTTCCATGCCAAAATTTCCTCTCAAACTTACTTTCCAGTAAATGAGAAACAATAAGACGTTTTTAATGAATTTTTAATTCACATTCCGTGACGTTCCAACCCACAGATAATTACCGCTCCGTGTTTATTAACAGTAGACATTGCAATTGTCGTATACCATAACCGGAAGTCCAGTTAAATTAAAAAGAGAAGCCTCAATACGTCTTGGCTCATATAAACACGGGAGAAAATGACCTCTAGATATATGAAATAAACAATGTGAGGTGCTATCAAGTGTCGATAATAGTTTACTTCGCTTATTACTTTTATCATTCGCTTCTACTCATTTACCCGGAAAAAAAATGTTCCGTCGATGAAGAAAAAAAGAGAATAAGGTATAGATGGGCGGTGGTACGTGGTACGGCTCCATAAACTGTAATGAGTGGAGGTTGTATGTGATGTTTATGTATGCAAGTGATTTTTTTTCATGAAAGGAAAAAAGGCAGAGGATGTGAGGTACTCTGCAAGCACTTTTCCATTCTGGTTCAAAAGAACATGGTAATGGAAATTCTTTATTGCTGCTCTTGGTGACGTTTTACTTGTCTCGTTGAGTATTTGTAGGTGTTATTACAGAAGTGATCAATCAAAGTTAAGTGATTTAATTTTCAGCGCAGAGTGATTTTATTTTCCCCCATAAATCGGAGAAACTAGAGTATTTTGGAAATTACTTTCGAGTTTATAATTTGTTCGTCCTCAGTAAGAAATATAACAGTCACATACACATTCAGCAAGAGAATTAAAATACTTATTACACCTACGAAAATTGATATAATATTATTCTCTGTTCTATATAATTTCATTATATATTTACAATTATATTCGTTAAATTCCAAAATCAATGAAAATGTCATTAATCTTTATAACGCACTTATCCCAGGAATAAACAGTTGATTTTACCTGCAAGCCCATTAATGATGTCTGAACCCGACTGTAGCAATATATTTCGGAGTTTTGTTCAGCCCTTCTTTTAGAGGCACTCCTACGAAATGATCAACACCAGCTCCTTCATCAGTATCAATTGGTTAAGTATGACTTCCTCAAAGCGGGTCTCCCCATTCCCGCTATCTAGTTATATAGATAGACTATATAGATAGACCATCGTCTGTCTCAATTTGCAGAAAAAATAATTGGAATGGCAATCATAGCTAATTACCTAGGACCAGTTTTCTGATAAATTAACCGCAGCTAGGAGCCCTATTTAATTACGGATTAAAAACTCCCTGGCTACAATGTAATCGAGCTAAAAATTTTTATATAAAATAATTGTTTAAAATAATACATGCTTTCGACGATAGCGAGCAGGGTGTACCGACGTATCAGATGGTATATTTGTCTCGTGACAAAGATAATACGTAATTCAGGTGCTTAGAGAAGCTTCCGAGATTTCATGGTACCAGGAGCCGCCAGTTCGCGTGATTCAGGACTGTCCCGGTCTCTCTGTCATGCACAGATCATTACCATCATATACCCCTATTGATTGGCTTGGAAAATTTATTTGACTTATTGTTACGGCTATTTACGGGTGGAAAATAAATTTTAAGAACTAAAAAGATGACAATATTATTTTTTACGTAGAAAGTTTGAATTATATTCAATTAATTGCAGTGAAATGAGAAGTTCAACTGGAGATCAGACCATATATACCGAGGATTCATTATTGAAATAGTAATTACTTTTTACGGTAATTGAATGGTCAACGATAATTTCGAAGTCAGTATTCATTGATTGGTTTGAAAGAGGGAGGGAAAAGATTTGACACTCAAATCTGTATGTTCTACTGATGAGGAGAGTCTCTTTCGTGAAATCTAGTATTACATGGATTGATAGCTTTTAATCAGTCGTCGGTATGATAGAAAAGCTCTCGTCCTTGTGAAGCAAAGGATGATGACGACATCCTCTGATTTCGCAAGTATTTGCCCAGGTATTTATGAGGTATTTACACAAGCTATACCGGTTTTCCGAAACAAGACGCAAATGATGAAATGATAAAAAAAGACAAGTTCTATCCGTAGATGCAATTTCGGTCGGCAGTAAATTATTACAGATTTCATAACGACCGGTAATCGTTTTAATATCTTCAGACCTAATCTCGATGCACCAGGTACAAACATCTTGTCTGAAGAAATAAATACAATCTGTATTGATGTAAAACCGATATTTACTTCACTCCTGTTTGTTCATGAGTGATACTGCTATAGCAAAATAATTTTAAAAAATAAATAGAAGCGGAGTCAATACTGCACATTTTTTTTAATTTTCTTTGAATCTTCCCCTTTATATTACAATCCATTTTGAATGCAAGCATTCATTGGTTCTTGACATTTGGCGCATTTTATAATATAGAAATTGTAAATTCATCAGTTACAACATATATACAGCTCGTTCTTTTCACAGTTTTTTATTTGTTAGCGATTACGGTTCTTAGAAAAATGAATGAACTTAAGAAGACAGTAACAAGTTACAACAAATGTACAAATTTACGAGTACAGTATAGTATTTTCTGATAATTCAGGTACTATGAATGTTGAACGTGAAAAACTCGAATGTACGAATACAGGTATATAGGACATCCTCTACATGGATTAAGGGAAGGAGAAACTCTGCATATACATTTTATTCCATGTATACAAAATGAGGGGATTGAATGATGCAATGAAATCGATTTTTGTTTTTATAAGGTTAAATTAATTTACAATTTTATTCTTCGATTCATTAAATAAATTTCGAATACGTTAAATGAAATTCATTAGACAAGGAATCACACGTAGGAATGACACGCATTTGCGTTCAATACAGTTGAAGAACTGACGCAAAAATTAGAAAGCTTTATCAGCTTTATTCTGATGCAGAAAATATCATTTTTCATCAAGTATTAAAATGAAGAAGGCTTTCAAATCAATCAAAATGAAAGTTGAAATATATTTATGATACAGTGCTTTGACTTTTCTTATCCACCGTAAATCGACCTCATCAGTTATAAGAAATTTCATCTGTCAAATTCACCTAGAATCATTAGTTTCTGATATATTTTCTGAATAAGATATAATAAATTTTTGGGTTTACTTATAGCATTTTTATACTTTGATGATGAAAACTAGTAGATAGAATTGACTCCCCAGCAATTAATTTAACTAGTTCATGTGAATGAAAGGTGATAGGGTGGGGTGTTACTTTTTTTATTTCAACCGTTTACTTACTCGAGACCCATTGCCCAATTAATACCTTGAACTAGTAATAATATTAGTGGCTGCCAGGCCACTAACCACCGAATCCAGTCGAGTAATTGACCGAATAACACATGTGGTCGTTCCCATCTTCAATCAACTGTTAAGGAAAAACGACGATGTTTCTGAAAGCTTTAAAATGAAAATAGTAACAATTTATTACTGGCGGTCCATCATTTTTCGTATTTTTTCCAGTTTTTTTAAATACTGTTGACAGAATTGACGCGAAAGAATACACTATTTCGTAGTTTGATCATTATTGAATAACTCATGAATTGTTAATTTTTCTACGTTTTGTCTAACGTTTTTCAACAGAATTCACAAGAGTTTAGAATAAATCTAGACAAATGACCACGCGATTATCGAAGTTGATGAGTTATTGAATAAGCAAAAAAATATCTATTGATTAACGTCAATTTGATCAACACTTTTCGAAGAATATGCTCATTACCTTCGTGACAAAAAAATATCAAAACAGTGGTGAAATTTTCGTGGCGAATATAAATATAGAACTCGCAGTTTTGTCATTCTGGAATTTCATATCCTCTAGAATTTTTTGTTTCACCAGTGTTAAAGTATATTCATAAATAAAAGATATTTCAATTGAGTATCAATGATAAGTAAAGGATACGGATTACAAAACATCTTCGTGAGATCAACTTTCTCCTTGCAGTATGGGCACATCTGTTTTTTTCCAACGATGCACCAACCTCTTATACAAAATTCATGGAACACATGGTCACAACTCAATTTGTAAGTATTTTCTATGACACCTTCCTCGTGTTCTGAGACCAGAAGTTTGTTACCGCATACAGCGCAGACTCCTGGGTCTAGGGTTCTGGTTGGCATACTTTTGGGTGCATAGTACTGAAAAGCCCATATATTATATGATTAAACTAATGTATCCAAATATAAATGAATAAATATGAGCAAGTCTGCAAAATTGATTATCTTTCATTCACATATTTTTAAATAAAAAACGAAAATCGACGATTACAATGCTTTCATTCGGAAACAGAAGTTTTGCTGATCATATCATATCATATCTCTAAAAAATGTCGCTTTATTTTGAAAAAAATTTTCGATATCGTTCAACACTAAAAGATGATTCCAAGCGCAGCCTAGAAAAAATATTCGCGCTTTGAAGGAAATATATCTCATTCATGTTGTTTATTGCCCCGTGGAGATGACAACAAATTTTACGATTTTTTTACATCTACATCCATACACTTGTCGGGCTTTAACGATCTGACACTAGAGCAACGGAAAAAATGTAATTTTCTAGAAGTTTTCAAAATATTTTTTTGGTAACTTATTGGTATAAATTATTGAACTGGTCTATCTAACTATCCAATTTTGTTATTAGAACAAGACATTGCAATGCTTTTCAATAGTTATCATTCATAAAATATGTCTTCCAACTTCTTGTCTTGTTTTGCAAATAATAATCTTACAGCTTTTAGGTGCATTCAATTCTCTAATAAATTATGATATTAAAATTTTAATAAAAACACTTACCCCAATATGACACGCCATTTTATCAGCACATATTTCCGCAATATCACGGCCCAAAACTCCAAAATAAAGTCCATAAAATAAAAATAGTAATCCACAATCCATCCAAGTGGGCGCCTTAGTATCAAAAACTAGATTTAATCCGAAGAATGTGGCAAAAGCTATCAAGTATCCAATTATACCCAGGACGTAACTCAACCGATAAATAAAATAAAACCATTTATACACTAATCTGTAACAAAATAATAAAAATTAGTGCAATTTTATGAATATTTTATTCTACAGCGCATACGCATTTTAATATGGAGTTACAAAGAACAATAAGTTAAATATGACATTTTTTCCTACTAGATAATTATGTTGATAATGACTGACCTTTCTTCTAACAAAGAATTATTTTTTTTAAGGCGCTCCAAGCCATTATCAGAAAGAGCTCATATTCAACACGATGTCAATTGGCCACTCCAAAAAATATTTCATACAAATACCTAGGTGTAGTTCCTCGGATGGGTCTTTGAAGGGCTTTCCTAACAACGAGTCCTGTCACACAGGAGAATAACAGCCAGAAAAATATAAACCTCCACCAAAAATTCATCAGGCAAATCGCAAATGGTATTATCCACACTCCTATCAACGTTACAAACTGAAAACAATAAAAATTTTTATTACATATATAGACATTCTTCGTTTTTATTTTTGTAACCCAGAAACGCTGAGAGATTGAATCATTGCCCCTTTTTACGAATAAGCAGACATAGATAAATCGATAAATTAATGAAAACATAAAGGATTAAACGGATTCTTTAGAATTCATAATGTAGTAGCTACAGAAATTTATCGACAAACCTACAATTACAACCACAGTTCGATGTTTCTAAGAGATAATATGATATATATATAATGGATACGGATAATACTAATTTCTTTACTTGCTTATTATTTTATACTAATACTGACAGAAGTAGTTATATTGTACAAAAGTTGTAGAGTAATTGTCTGCTCTAAGAATAGAGTTTTATGTTCGTTTCATGGCGATGGGTTCTGTGATATTTGTAAGAAGTATTCTTTTTCTTGAAAAATAAGACGATTTAGTCAGCATACGACAAAAAATATACCAACGGATAATTTAACAAACCAGAAACTTTTCAATATTGTTTAACAAAACAAATTAGGATCTACACTGCCTGTTCCTGATAGTTCTGTTTGGTTTCGATAAGCATTACGATTGTTTTATTTCATTTTTTATTTATTGTTCATTCTGTCCACGTAGAAGAGGAAGCCTAGTAGGGTTTAGATAGGGTTTAGAGGAAGTTAGAGGAAGCCTATAATATTTTAATGTAGAGGTAACAGTAAAAAATTGATATCTTCAAAATTTTTAATTATTAAAATGCAATGGATTACCTGGTACGATCTAAAATGTCTCTTCTTCCACTCAACAAGTATTACTTGAACTACAACCAGAGTTACTAACAAAATAAGTAACATTTCTGCGTGCATTGATTCATGCCCCTTGTGTAATTGATGTAACCTTATGTGCTCTGCCCTAAAATAATTAAAATCAATGATCGTCTTATATTCATAAATTATTGTGTTAATCACTATATTTTCATAAATATATTCGTTCAACATTCGATAAAAAATCATAAAATCCAAAATTAATATAAAATTGAGAACTATACCTCATCCGCTCTTCGGAAGTCATCTCCTCTTCACTCTGAAACAAACAACAAGAATATATTTATTAGAAATTAGCATAATTTTTAATGGAGAAAATGCAACGAAATATATTTTCGAATTGGTATAACATTCCATGATACGGTAAATCGGCATATGAGTTCAGTTCACGTCGCTCGTCCTTGGAGGTTAACTGCACTCATCATTGATATACACACGTACTCAGTTACACGAATTGAAAAGTAATTATATAAAAAAGCCTACCTTGTTTGGCATAATGTGAAGATAATCCATAATTGTGTTTTCGTTTATTTATTTGGTTTAATATTGAAAGGTGCTAAGCTCAGATGGATGGCATGATGCAGTCAGCGCTAATGCTAAGCTGCTAAGCGCACATCAACTTTAAAGTACTTGTCCATCCCCTTGACTGTTACACAGACGCATTATTCAGGCCACTAGACGAATTGTTCGTACGTCACATGTTTACGATTTTTACTTTCCAATAAAAGTATTGTAGTCGTTGAAAGTTTAGTTTTGTATTTTTATGATTCAAAAAATTAGAAAATTTATTTGGATGCCTTGTTGATCGAGTTCGAAGATGGAAATGATAGTAATAAGCGTCGTATTTATATATGAGAAAAATTGTTTAAAAGTCGTTATTTAAAAATATTTGAATTCGGCGCCTGTCGTGAGATATACTGTAATCATGATCACCATACCTCGTAATCATCTCTTAATTACGACAGTATGATATTTTAAGCTCTAATCAAATTCATTTTGAGGTAGTACATCCCGCGGTAGATCCTAATTTAAATTACTGAATATTCTGCACCTAGCTTGATAGCCTTCAAGTTTTTTAATTCAAAATTCATGTGTTTGCCTACCCGACTTATTATTTCATGAACCTGAATTTATTAGCTTTAAAACGAATAAAAAATTACTCTATAGTGTTATAACTTCGCGAAAAACGGATCGATTCAATTGTGCTTGGACTTTATATGTTCGCCGTGATATCCTTTATCATCACTGATCATCAGTCTTAATGAAGATTAAAAATACTATTTTTCAAAGACTAAAACATATTTTTCAGATACTTTACCAATGAATAGAGAGCAAACTGGTAATGCTCCTAAAAGAAACGAAAACGAAAATTTTAAATTGAAATTTCCAAAAGAGTGAAAAAACTTGATCAATCTCTACAGTTTGACTGGAGAATTCGAATGTTATCCACGACCAATCATTTTATTCTCCAAATCATACTCCAGAGGGGCGGTGAATTTTTTTTTGTGTGTTCAATTTAATTTCAATCAATTCTTTAATTATACAATGGAAAAATCGAGGAATTTATGGTGAATGAATTAAAGAGACTGTCTTCAATGATATTTACACTATATGCACAGGTATTTTCAATTTTTTAATTTAATTCTTATATTTTTTAACGAGAAATGATCAATTTATGATATATTTACAATATATATTATCAATATCTAACGGGAAATGGCTAATGTACGGTATATATTGTAAATACATTGGGAAAAACCAAATTTTTTATTATTCAGGGAAAATAAAATAATCATTTGGCAGACAAGTACTATACTTCAGAAATGCGTGCCGTTTTGGGGGTATAGTAATGACAGACATGCTTCACAGAGCTATAATGTTGCAGTTCTTTCAATTACACGATTCAAGTGAAGTGGTGAATTAACTATATATACATACAAAGAGGATCGACTAAAGTAGAGGCTCCGTTCTGGGGCTTCAGGGGCTTGAGTGACTCCAGCGGCATCGTAGTACTGCACCCCAAGGGAGGGAGGGCGCCACACGTAATAGGGGTGTCGTCCCGTCAGCCGACTCGGTAACTGCCTCAGCCCCGGTGTCAGGGGGACCAGTCAACTGGGTGAATTTTATTTGATCTGTTACGAAATTGGTATTCACTGAAATTGAAAAATGAAAAATTTTCAAAAAAGTATCAGAGGAGCATAAGAATGGAGGAGGTATTCACTGAAATTTGAAATTTCGAAATTTTTCGAAAAGTATCAGGGGAGCATGAAAATCGAGGAGGTATTCACTGAAATTGAAAAATTCGAAATTTTCAAAAAAGTATCAGGGGAGCATGAAAATCGAGGAGATATTCACTGAAATTTGAAAATTTGAAATTTTTGAAAAAGTATCAGGAGAGCATGAAAATCGAGGAGATATTCACTGAAAATTGAAAATTCGAAATTTTTCGAAAAGTATCAGGAGAGCATGAAAAACAAGGAGGTATTCACTGAAATTTCGAAATTTTTCGAAAAGTATCAAGGGAGCATGAAAATTGAGGAGGTATTCACTGAAATTGAAAAATTTTAAATTTTCAGAAAATAAAATTCCCCCAGTCGTTTGGTCCCTCTGACAGCGGGACTGCTACTGAGGCAGTTACCGAGTCGGCTGGCGGGCAGACACCCCACCATTGGGGGCAGCCCCCTCTTTCTCTTGGGGTGGGGTACTCCCCCAGAATTGAGCCGCTCAGTGGGGGTTTGAGTGACCCCACCGGCGTTGTAGTACCCCACCCCAAGAGAAAGCGGGGGTCGCACCCAATGGTGGGGTGTCTACCCGTCAGTCAACTCAGTAACTGTCTCAGTCAGTGATGCCAGACGAGGGTAAGTCCCACGCGTGGGATTTTCGTGCGCATCTTTCTCGCGCACCCTCCAGGTCCCCACTACTGTGCTAGCGCAAAGGCCATGCGCCAAGCAAGGAACGCGCTAAAGCCTGCGCACTAGAACGCAACCGAGGAGTGGGGACGTGAGGGACTCTCGCCTGGCATCACTGCTACTGAGTCAGTTACCGAGTCGGCTGACGGGCAGGCACCCCCAATGCGCGTGGCGCCCTCCCTCTCTTGGGGTGCAGTACTGCGATGCCGCTGGAGTCACTCCAACCCCCAGAAGTGAGCCTCTATTTTAGTCAATCCTCTTTATATACATGTATGAAATGGCCATGTGCCTACTTGCGCGGTAAAAAACAATACTTTTTTCGGATAGAGTAAGATGTCACCATATTATAGTTTTCCTTTTCAGATGGCAAGTCTCTTCCCCATGGAATGCTGGTTAAGGTCCTTAAGGTGGTTGTCGTATAACAGTCTCTACAGTCTCTCAATACTCAAAAAAGTTGAAATTTTAAATTTTTCTATTGAATACATAATACGGTATATATATATATTGGTTCCATATAGTGAGAAACATTAATGATTCTCGAAGTTTATCAGGACATAACTTATTTACCCTTGTTTTTTCTTTTTATTTTCTTTTTTTAGTACGCCAAGTTTAAAGTGAGAAGATAAAGACTGGCGTTGATATGAAATAGAGAAAAAAAAATTTGTAACATCGAAGGAAATTAACTCATTGCTATATTTGTTTCAGATAATTCCCGGTACTTTTACTCGATCCTATTCGCCGACGCTCCACCAATGAGTCAACATCATCTTCGGGCATGCTCGTTAGCTTCCGTAAATTTACGCTAGCTAAACCACGCCCACCACCGACGATCAGTGAGTGAAGCTGGTAATTCGCCGTGAATGTAGCAATATGAATGTTCGCATAGTTTTCTCAAGAAAATAACACGGGGCCGTTCGTGTCGAAAAAAAAACAACCGAAATTCGCGCGTACGTGTTATTCGCCTGGATCAATCGAATGAAATTGAGTGATTTGGCCTAGTGATTTATTTAGTAGTGAAGTGAAGTTCAGTGAGAAATTTTGTTACACACACGTGCCCAAGTTGCTTTTATTCGGCTCTGTTTTTCTTATTTTTATTAAATTGGTTACTTGTGTGTGGAAGGATACACCTTTTGCCTGCCTGCCATCGAAGCCTAGGAAAAGATCGTTTTGGTGAGTCCTCAAGAGCATATATTATTTCACACAAATTTTCCGAGGCTGAATCGTGTTTTCTCAACTCTCCGGAATTAATTCCTGTGGATAATGGTCGATTAAAAGGAAGGGAGTGGAACTTGAGAGATTTAACCACAAATCTTGGTCACCACGGGGGATACCAGTGATGAGGATTTGTGCAATAAGGGAGAATCTTAATGCCCCTTAAGGAGATAACTCACGAGCATTTTAATGTCTTGTTATAAGTAACGTCACGGTTGACATATAAAAATGTATAAACATTATGTTTGGATAACATTGAATCCACTCTTCTGATATTCGAGTTATGAATTCTTTCTCTTTTTTTTCGGAGTTGAAAGCCAGAGGATTTGTGAATCGCTGACGATTGTGATTTTTTGTCCATGAATGTAGGAATTTCTTTATCATTCCTGGTGACGCAAGACCAGGGATTACACAGGTGATCCACTAGAGGCGCCGATAATTCCGATTAATTTTTGAATGATTTCTATTTTTTTCTCTGTCTTTTTATCAGTCACTGCGTAATAGATAATATAATAACTTTTGAAGACTTTCGTTCAATATTCATCATTTTTATGGTCTAGTGATTTTTATTTCGTTATCGAATTAGAACAGAAACATGAGAATGTATTCATCTGAACAAATAGAAAAACAAAACAAATTCTGCATGCTCAAACATGCTTTGTCATCCTTGATAGCGATTGTCATTAGATTAATTTAGATTGTTCCGAGCATCACTCCACATTCGTGAGTTATTTTCGATTAATTCTAAAATCTTTATTGAGTTATTAAATGAGAGCAACGTCATCGAAACTAATTAGCTTCGATTATCTCATGTTTTGCATGAGTTTTAGCATTTCCGTCGTCTAACTTCTTTTACGTCTTCAACATTTATTAAGAATTCTTCTAAAACCATTAAGCACTTCAAATTTCATTCGTTCTTTCAGTTTTTGAGTAATTTAAAGGCAAGACCATTGAACCTCCATCCTCTTGTTAGAGTTCACATTTCATGATTACAAAAATTAATCTTATATTTCACCGTATGTTTATGTTGTTACTTGAATGAAGATTTTTCTGCTCTTGAATTCTGAGAAGTGTGGGGACAAATGTTTAGGTATTTGGTTTCTCATTCTAAACATCTGTGAAATAATAGGAGCTTTATAGATCCATGTCAGCAAAGTCTCTAGGATTTTCAATCGTCAGCTAGTCCAGTCAAGAAGTTAGAAGTGTGTGGATGTGTTTTCTTAGCAATAATTTCATACTAAGAAAGGTTTCAACTCTACCAGGCTTATTTTCGAAATATGAAATTATATCGCCAACAATTTAATTGGATGACTTGATCTTTCATTTATTTTTAACAATTAAACTTTAATTAAGGACTCGATATGATGTAAGCTAAATTGTTAATGTCCAATGTTGCTTGCTCGAGAGTTTGTTAAAGAGTGTTCCTGGTGTTGGAAATAATTTTCGACGTTAAAACGAACAAGCGACCCGTTATAACAGGTCGCAGGGAATAATGAAAACACTTAAGCTGTTTATGACCGAAACATCCCAACACGTGGACCAGTCCCATAGACAAAGGGCCCTGTCTTTTGGGAAGACCTGTCACCCTGGACGGACTGGTGACCAGGGGCACTCTTTTGGAAGAAGAACTCTCGAGGAAGCGCCATCAGACATTATCAACCTAGCTTACATTATGTCGAGTCTTTAACTCAAGTTTATTTGTTAACAATAAATGAAAGATCGAGTCATCCTATTAAATTGTTTGCATTATAACTTCACCCTACACTGGTTACCAGTTCGTCCAGGGTGTGAGGTCTGCCACGAAGTCAAGGCCCTTTATCTTTAGGGCTGGTCCACGTGTTTAGTTGTTTAGGTCATAAATAATCGATTCCCTGTAACCTGTTACAATGGGTTGCCTGTCCCTGTTAATGTCGAAAATATTTCCAACGCGGGGAAAATGAATAAATTCGAGACTACAAGTGACAGGAAGGTCTTCATATATTTGTGGCGTTATTTCTTAGTGACGTTATTTCTTATTGAATCCACACCGTGACAATTAAATCCAGTATGTACGGAAGTACGCAATCAAATAAGACAGCAAAGATGCATTTAGAGAATGGTTAGGTCTCTCTTTCATGGGTTAATCAAATGTGGAACAAGGAACAATATGAGGTTCTCTGACCCGATAATAACAGATATCTCGTTATCCCTCTGGACATAGAAGTGAAAAGGATAAAATGAGAGAAAACCTGCGTTTTACGTACGTGATGTTGATCATCATCACGTCCGAGAATGCGGAAAAGCAAGGTGAAAAATAAAAGTCAATAATTTCTACATCGAGTGACGGCAGGCCTCTTTGCGCTTCTCAATCTTTAAAAGAGATTTTTTCGATTTTTGCTTCGGAAGTTTTTAAATTTTCCGGTTTTACGATTTTCTCATTTCGTTTTCATATGATGGAGAATGGTCGAAACGGAAAAATAGAAAATTTGAGCACAGGTTGTCAATCTGCCCCGATGATTAACTTTTATGAAAAGGAAGAAAGAGAAATAATGAATAAAGTAATATTTACATCTTCTGTCTTCTGCCAAATCGCAGAAGCTCTTGTTTATTTTCCGCAGAATTTTCAATGAATAAAGAGTTGATGAGTAATTACTCAAAAAATTACTCACGGCAAATAAAAAATTATTCATTGAACTTTTTTTGTTACTCATATTAAAATCTTACGACCAAACCCAATCGTCAAGTTATGAATAATTCATCCATGAATTTTTCATTCACAAAATTCTGTCTATAAATCCGAAGAATTATTTGAAAGTAGAGAAAGGAAGACGGCATGTGGTACAGAAATTTCGGAGAATCATAGCCGGTCGGTTGACTCATTTGAATTGTATTAATTTATTATTAAGGTCACTTGAATAAAATTCATTCCAAATGTTTCCTCAAACGAAATTCACTCGACTGGAGTTTGAGGTGAAGAATTCTAAAGTCATTAGTGGATTGCTCGACATTTATTTGATTTCCAAGTGAGTGTAGAGTAGGAGGAGAATTACAAGTTCTCACCGGTGCAAAGTCCTCGGTACGTCAGTTGGACACTCTTGGATGTGGTACAAATTGGCGGCTGTCCAACTCTCCTCGGACTCTCACCGGTCATAGCAAGTCGCTATCACATTCCACTATACTTCACGCACTTTAATGTGAATCGCATCCATTAATATATGTGATACCACTTTCGAGAATTCTATTTATATTTTTTAATTAACTGTATTGAAAAATAGTTCGAACCTTCGTATACACAACATCCTTCTTTTTTCACCTCCAACTTTCTTTCCTGTCGATTCAGAACGAAGTCATATATATAAAGCAGTGATTTTTTTTTCTATAATTAAAGAACAGAACTCTTATAAATACTTCAGCGTTGAAAGTGAATTTTTCGTGAGCGGTATTTACGGTTTCTATTAACTACTTTAGTCATTTCATTGATATAAAGAGAATAGTATTAGATTTTAATTGGAAGCCAGGTTAATAAATGAATAGACGTTTAAGTAAGAGGAATTAAATTATATTTTACTAAGATATGTTCACACTTCGAGAGCAGTCGCCGAACTGACAAACGATCTCGAAGTCAAAAACCAAAGCATCAGCATCATGGTTTCTTTCTTTCCATGCTCAGAGATTTGTTTATATCATTTAATAAACATTCATTCGGTAATACTATAAAAATCATATCATAGTAATTTCACAGATATATTAGTATTTTCTAGAAGAAAAATTATGAGAGAGGATCACTATTTTTATTCAATCGTTTTCATTACAAGATTCACATTATTTATGTGTGCGATTCAAATTCAGTATTAAAACGATATAAATTTACCGATTATGAAAAAGATTACCGTATATTTTATGTTTGTTCTCTTCAATTTTCCGTTATTGAGTTACAAACAAATGTAATATAATAATATGAATGGTTGACCTTGCATCTTTGCAATGCAAATATACATTTTCATTAACCAATCGAACAATATTCAGACGAATGATTAAACTATTAAACTATAAAATTCATTAGTCTCCGCATGAAAAATAAAACGATAAATGAATGAAATCTCATGAGTGGAAATTAGTCTAGTCTAAATACCATCTGGAATGAATTACTCACTTTAAGCATCTCCGACACTCCATTCACATCGAAATGTCACCATGAATGAACTCAATTTCAGGACAGATTAAGGAATGAATGTTAGAGATGTGAGATAAATTATTATCACCCAGATTTATGCCACCGTTACCTGTGATATTATCGTGTCAAAAGTGTACATAACACATGTTCGATTTTTTTTCACATATAATCGAGGTAAAAAAAGAGTTTGCCTTTGTTTCTGCCACTGGGTCATTATAAAGTACATTACAATTCGTGAGGAATTTCTATCCATGCAAAGATACACGCCCTCGGCGTTCTCTAATCATAAGGTCGATGTAATGAAAGTAACAAGAAACGTTTAATTTCAACTATTATTATTATGGGTTAATCGTACACCAGCACCAGAAGGTTGAGCTATATGTTCACTATATTTTCTCTCTGTGAATTATTCTCTGCAATCGTAACTGTATCAACTGACACCAAGTTATTGATTGAGCTATTTTTAGTAATTGCTCATTAAATAGAAAAAAGAGCCGACCTAATTGGAAAGTTCTTTTTTTAGAAGACGATAGTTTTGAGTTTTCTCATTGTTCTGGATTTTGAGGATGAAAAATAGAAAAAAATAGAAATCTAGAGACAATTGATTTTATAATGAAAAAAAGATTTAGATAAATGTACATTTTCATTTATATTATTTTGCAGATTTATGGAAAAATTATACAGATAAAAATTTAGTGGAAAAATTCCGGACAGCAATAGAAATGAGGGGCAAAGTGACAGTTGTAGAAAAATTCTAGTGCTAGCATTGTAATTTTTAGAATTGTCACGTTTTAGAATGGCGTAG